GCTGGCTTACAATTTCATGGCCAACTGACTGTTGTAGGTGCAACAACAACAATGCGATATCTCACCTTCTTCTTGCTGTGTGGGAAGATGATAGCGCTCTTGGATGTTTCTCGTCGCTATTGCTTTTAGTGATTACTGTGCGTCTGTGATTAGACATCGCCGGATTAAAATTTTCATCCCCAAGCAGCAGCCTTCACTTCGTACTTATGATTTGTCTTACTGGCACAATCTCAGTTTCAAGAAAATTTTTTCTGTAATTTTGTTTTGTATCTAATTTCTTTGCTTTTAATTCAGGTGTTGTTGGCCCATACAACCTAAGGGTGTGTGTACGCATGTTGACGTTGTTCATTACATTTGTTGTTTTTGTAATGCATTTTAGTATTTTTTTGTAATTGTCTGCCGCTTTACTGTGCTATCCGTGCGTAGACTTTTTATCCTGTTGCTCATTAACTTGCCATGCAATAATAAATTAAAATAATTTGAACCGATACGACAGCCATACAAAGGGGGCGGACAGATGAGTGAACGAATGGCCGAAGAGACCGTTGGAAGGGGAGATGAAGAGTCGATTGTCGGGGAGATATGAAGTGACCATAAGAGTGAGCTGAAGATCTATTGAAAGAGACAAGCGCGAAAATAAGGAACAACTATGTATAAGAACAAGGAATCTTAGTTGTTTTTTGTAGATGTAAGCATTTATTTCTAGAAACGGGAGACAGTCAGGACCAGTAGGTTTATTAGTGATAAACTAGTCCACCATTTATGGAATTTAAATATTAACTATTCTTTACTGCAAGCAACGACGGAATTAACCACAGAGTAATTTGTTAATTATATTTTAGTTTTATTTTATTCTTAATGAAGAAGTACATTTTTTTACTAAAAGTTTTTAAATATTAAATTATTTTATTTTTGCAGTTTTTTACTGTTTGTTTTTATTTAATGTATTTTTATTTCATAAACTTTTTTTGTAATTTTTTATTGTATTTGACTTTTATTTTATTTTAATTTTAATTTTATATTTACTTTTTCACTGTCTGTCTGTATGTATGTTTGTACGCGCATCACTCGAATGCTGCATGGATTCGCATGAAGTTTTCACCGATCTGTTGCTAGAGGTCTAACTTAAAATACAGAAGAAAAAATTAGAGAGTTGCCACCTGCTTAAACATTGCAGTTTAAGAAAATTGATAAGATTAAGTAAATATTGCCATATGGCTGTCAAAAGAAAGAGGTTTAAGAAGACTGCAGCAGAGAATATTTTTGTGGGAGATTGCCACCTGCTCGCAATTTTTAATTTTGTTTAATCGATAAGAAAAATTAAATATTCCAATAATGATATCAAACTAAAGAGGTTTGGGAAAGTTTACTGCCGAAAATATTTTTAGGAGGGCTGCCACCTGTTTGAAATTTTTATTAAATCAAATTGATAAATTAAATGAATACGGGTATCAAACTAAAGAGGTTTAAGAAATTTTCCTGCGAAAATATGTTTGAAGCGGGTCGCCACCCATTTGAAAAATTTGATTCAGTTAAATTTATAAGATCAGTAAATATTGAATTAGTACACCATTGAAGGAAGAGCCTGGTATTTAGACTCGAGTTATAACTTGTGCTTAAAATTTTCATAAAAAAGGAGAAAATTACATACCTACTTTCTAAATCCTTCTAAAATATGTATGTATATTAACTAACACTTACATTAAAAAGAATTAAATATTCTACATAAATCGAAAATTTGTTTGAAAATCTCACTACAGAAAGCTCTTTAAATCTATTTTACAACGCTTTTATCAACTTTTACTTTTAAGGTGCGCCGGGTATTTGCTACTAAATATTGAACAAATATTTTTCCAGCTCAAGGCCACATTAAAACCAAACACAAATTTTAGATTTTGCATTTGTTTTCATATGCCGATATTTCAATTCCCGTCTAGAGTCATCCGTTTTTTTCAATCCTGAAGATGACATTAAACTGAAGTCGAAATATCGGCAAATAAAAGCGAATTCAAAATCTAAAATTTGTGTTTAATTTTCATGTGGTCTTGAGATCTAAAAATATTCAGCATTTATTTTTTAATTATATTCTACTTTTATATTTGAAATATCAAGATTTTTGTTTTAGACCTTTGCAAAATCGTTATATTATTATTTTTATTTTTTCCATCAAGAATAATCGTTAAATTTTGATCTTTATTTGTTCGTTAAAATTTAATCGTTATTTCGTAGTTTTTAATTTTTTGATCAGAAATAATGGTTATTTTGGGTTTTAATACAGACTGTGTTGGCCGTTTTAAAAATTTTGTGATCTAGGAAATTCAATTTTGATTGATTGATTTCGACCGACAAAAAAGTATAAATTAATAATTATTCTTGAGCGAAAAAATAAAAATCATGAAATAACGGTTAAATTTTGTTTTTTTACCTTTTTATTTTGTTAATTTTTAAATATTTTAATTTTTTATTTTATTCTTTTCAGGGTCCGAAATAATTATTATTTAAATTTTTAGATCATGAATATTCTTTAAATTTTAATTTTTTTTTCGATCAAATCGAATCTTTATTTTGTGATTTTTACTTCTTCGATAATTCTAAACTTGTGAGACCATGTTTTTACGATCACTTTAAATATATTATGATCTAAAGAAGCACATCTGAAAATATTCAGAATAATCAGAAATTAACGATTATTTTTTTATCGAAAAAAGTAAAAATAATAAAACAATACATCAGAAAAATAGAAATCAAATTTTTGGTGTAAAATTATGATTTTTATTATAAAGATCATAACCGTTACGGTCCCAGATTTTGGTATTTAATTTAACTTTTTTATTTTATTCTTTTTTTTTTAAACATTTCCACATATACCTACTTGCATATTTTCTTGTTTCCATCTTCATACAATTTAACATCCTATGCCTCCTTAAATATGCCCTTTTTTCATTTCCCTCGCGGCGAAGCGCAATGATTTTTCGGTTTGTTCGGCCATTAATTTCCCATTGATTGTCAAAAATTGATTCTCTATTGGATTTTTGTTCTTGTAATAGCATTTGCTGCTGTTGTCGACGCTGTCTGCATTATTTTGGCTGCAACAGCAATTACCTCTACTCCACAAAAATTTTCTTCATACACATTAATGTGCATTTTGTTGTTGCTGCATTTACCTTTCATAGAGTTAACTTGTTGTAATGCTGCATTTGTTGTTGTTTTACTTTTGGCTGCTACATTTAGCCATTATGCACCACCGCAGAATACCGCATCACCTGCTGTTCGACGAGACACGCCGTAGGAATGGCGCCATTCGAATTCGTCATAGACGTGCACATTTGCACATACCTTTAATATGTATGTATGTCAGTAGCAGACGGAGTTAGCCACAAAAGTCAGTTTTTTAGCCAGTAGTTGCACTTAAAGGGTCACAATATCAAGCCTCCCACGCAGAATTGAGTTTAAGTAAAGTTTGAACTGAGTTGCCTTTTTATTCAATTAATTAAGATGTGGTGAAGATTTTGCAAATCACACAAAGTAAAAGAGAGAGAGAGAGCTGAATTCAAAAATTGTAACTGTACCTGCGCTGAAGATACATTTCAGATATTGATCTCATGAATAAAGATAAATTTTTTAAGTTAACAAACGCAAAGCTCTCACTCATCCATTCACTCCTCCATGTTTTTTTGTAGTATTAGATAGTACATGGTCTATTCTGCGTATCCTTTATTGAGTTTACGAGGTACCCTTCAGGGTGGGCTTCCATATCCTTTGTTACTCTGTTATAGTATTTGGCTAAACGAATTTCTGCTTTGCACTACATCGAAAGTCGTTGAAGTTGTTCCAAATACAGCTAAATTAGTCATCCTGATGCTCCAGGCTGCGTTAGAGACACTTGTAATAGGTTGAGAACGACGGACAGTGACCATGCTTCCCTGCTGGACAGGGTCAGGGTGGAGTATAAAAGTTGTGATTGTCAGATAATGGAAATTGACTTTGACCACAACTCCGAAAACTATTTCCCCAACAGAAGTTATTAGGAATCCGGATCTTCCAAAATGGAATGGTCGGTAACTCGATGTGCGCTCGGGAATGCCAAAAATATGTCCACCTACATTCTGTTTGACAGCACTGTGGTATTCCGGAAAATGTGTGGAACAGGCGTGTGTTCGAGAAAGGGAACTGAGAGAGGATTAGGAAAAGCGGATCAAATATCCTTTGCGATTTTTGTTTTCAGGAGTTAAACAGAAGTCCAGAGCAGCCAGCAACAGCAGGTGGACTAAAAAGCTACAGACATTCACTGTTTAGCGCTAACTCGATCGCACCTCACCGGAACACCACTAGCTACTTAGATGAGGAAGAAAGATAATCCATTCAGCCTGGCATATTCGAGTACTCCATGCTCAGCGGAGATGGAGCGGAGAATATCTTCAACTTCTGAGCGCCGCCTATACAGTTCAGGAAAACTCCATCAGAGGTTAAGTCAGGATTCGCAAGAAGGTCAATATTTGTTTATAGATAAATAGGGACGGGTCTAGGGGAATCATCTCTGCTTTTACTACAGCTGCTCATCTAATCTAACCTATTTATGATCTCTTGAGGTACGTGCATTTAGGTAGTCGGGGAAAGGTTTAGCCGTGGATGGAAGTTTCCTCTATACAGCCATTCCACAGCGATTTTCAATGGCTCCTTTTTCTTTTCTGGTTTGTTTTGTAGATCTAACCTGAGTTTTTGCTCACCGAGAGTTAGAATTAAGTATAGCGTTTTTGCACAAAAAGCCTCAGACATAAATTTTGATCCACAAATAGTTTGGTCCATAGTTGTTGTGATCTATCGCTTTTCTTCGATTTTCACCATTACAGCTCATAAAGTTTTTTCTCAACCTTGTTCGGTGTCCGACTGGTTTAGGCAAAGGGCAGAAAGAAAGAACGATGATTCATGACTTGATGCCCAGCTTCCTAAATCAAACGAATCGTATGTTGACCTGCTCAGATTTGTTTGCATGTATTTATTTTAAAGTTTGAAAAATCAAAGCAATTCAAAACACACTAATTAAATAGGATTAGCAGCAATAAGACTCCTACAAATCTACTGAATTCCGCTTTACACAAAGTCATCGACTTTGATATTTCAATATCTGTAAAGGAAGAGGCAATTTCAGCCGATTTTGATGAAGAATCAAAGTTCTTTTTCCCACTCACCAATGCCACATAATCCTTTGAAAATGCGCGAACAGACCGGTACTTTCGGATTGCATTGCGAACAAGGTGCTCCGAAAAGGAAACCCTCTTTATATCTCCTGCCCGTACGTGGCCAATAATAACAAACAAACATATAGTGACCGTTAGGGAGGCTAACGAAGAAGAAAATGGATGGAGAGACAAATAATAAGCGATATACATATATAGTAATTTTTGGAAGGTATATTGAAACCCTTACTGCGCAGCATTACAGCCAATTAGCTGCACTAGCGGATAGATCAAATGCGAAAAATTGCCCACACTCTGTGATCTGTTCACGTAGAAATTATCCCAACTTTGCCGGTAGCCAAATTCATTGAACCACTTGCGCACCAAACGTGCCGGCCATTTTTTGCTCACTTTGCCTTGGTAGAAGAGATAATTTTCGTTTACTTGCAGCTCGGCTGGTCCTTGCGGATAAAAAGTAATAGCCTTGTGAGACTCTAAGCGAGAAATGTATGGAAAGAGACAAAATCGTGAATTTATGTACCAACATATTGACAAGAATCGCGCTCCATTCGACACTGTTTGAGAAACATCTCGGCCCTTAACTGCAAATCCACGCTCCAGTGCTGGAATGGAAGAGAAAGGAATTGTGTTTTTCAATTCTTTGAGGCTTTTGGGCATCATTTCTTTAATAACTAGAACTGGTGTTTTCTTATAGCGTACAGAGAGAACTAATGCATCCGCCATATGTTTACAACTCAATCGTTTTTGTGTAATATCAGCCTATCTTTGCAGATAGTTTAGATTTGCTTTACTCAATGAAACCTTAACAATAGCGCTTGAAACCAAGGTAAGAAAATACTTTGGGTTTTGGTCTCTTACTGCCTATACTTAAAATACGGGATGCTCTCTTATTGTTCTGTTGAACTAAGCTCGAGTTATGAGGAACATGCCAACTGAGGAACAAAAAAGGCCGCTAACGTTTGATCACAGGAGGCTTAAGTCCAGCGCAGATTCAAAAATGTCTACAAAGCTCATATACCCCCGACCACTCAGCGACCACTCCTTTCAAATAAGTAGGTATTACAGACAACCTCGAATGGGTTTCAACTAACAATTTAAGATTAATTTTTCGTTTGTCTAACAGAATAAACTCAGGTCGAAAAAAATGTACAAACGAAATATGACAACGAGGGTGGCGGAACTAGAGATCGTACCAATTTTAAAATGGTTGAGATGGGCGGCATGTGGAAATTCTTTAAAAAATAGCGGGCGGGATGAGACCAAAATCTCTTGCCCAAACTTTCAATAAATCCCGCCACTTACAAAGGTCAATAAAAATTACTTGGAAAGCCATATGAATTTTAGTTAATGATAGATATAGCGACCCACAGGACTCGCAGTTCAATTCCGAAAGACGTCGGTATGGGCGAGTTCGTTACCTATAAACCGAATGTAGGGAAGGTCGGGATCAGAATTGAATATGTCGACCCGCGTACATCTCTACTCCGGACCAAAATTGACAAGGAATGACGAAAAGTCGAAAGAATCATCCAACACGAAAAAATAATTCCTGAATCCTTTGTCAGGTTAATTTCTGTAGCTTTCGGACCGTATACATACATAATACTTTTTCAGTCGCAGAGATCCTGCGTTGAATCCAAGAAAAGGCTGTTTCTCCCCGAAAATATAAGCTCAGGTCGACCGATCATTCTGCGATAAAAAGTGTTTCTTATCCTCTAAGAAAAATTGTACACTCAGGTAGCTTTTTGTAGTTTTCTCATCGTATTATTTACCTTCAGTCGCAAAGATCTAGCGTTAAATCAAGAAAGTTTCTCTTCGAAAGCTCTCGACTGATTTACGATAAATGTTTTTCTTTATCCTCTAAGACACCAGACATCTATTTTCTTTTATATTTATTTTATTTTATTTTAGTTTATTTATTTTATTTTATTTTATTTTATTTTATTTTATTTTATTTTATTTTATTTTATTTTATTTTATTTTATTTTATTTTATTTTATTTTATTTTATTTAATTTAATTTAATTTAATTTAATTTAATTTAATTTTAATTTATTTTAATTTAATTTTATTTTTTTATGTTATTTTATTTTATTTTATTTTATTTTCCTTCCTTTTATTTTTTCTCTTCCTTTTATTTTTTTCTCTTCCTTTCATTTCTTTTCTTTGCTCCTCTATTAAACGATACTTACCACGATATTCATGTTCGCAATCTGATATTGTCTTGCCACTCTATTTCTTAAACCATTATGACCGAGTAAAAAAGAGTTTATTTGGTCAGCGCCTAAATGCAAGAATTTGATGGGATCACAGCGCGGTTCTTGAGCCTGAAAAAAGAAATAAAAACATACACATTTCGAAAGTTTATTCATGCTCGAAATTGTACGCGAGTCGAAACTATTTTGCCTTGTGAGTAAGGTAAAATGTCTGAGCTCGTGTTCTGTGGTTTGCTGCCAAGGCGGAGTCCAGCGGGAGTTTTCTTATTGAATTGCGAAACTTTCTTCAATGTTTTTCTATAAAATTTGTATAATTTTTTATTTTTATGAACTTCTGATGATGCTCAACGCAGCCGCTAACGAGTCATTGTTTTCGTTAAAGAAGAGTTGCGAAGTTTTTCTGCTCGCGATTCAAAAACATGAATGAATTGAAGCTCCTGATGTAATTTTTACTAAAGAAGCGAGCTGAAATGGTTTTAGCTGTTCGATCGCGAATTTTGTTTGCTGCTATTTCTCTCCACCTTGAACGTCAAAACAGGCTATGGAAAGGCACGTTTTCTTTAAGTGAATATCATAAATTGCGCTTAAATGAACCTGCTGTAGAGTCAAAATCAAAAAGGTCAGCGAGCCGAAAGCTTAAGCTCATTTTTGCAGTCTCTTACTTTGATTGACATTATTTTGCTAACTTACCGCGCACACGAAATGTGGTTTACCATTGTCGCATGTGATATTGTTTTGACATAGAGCAGCATACTGAGTAACAGCTTGTGTGGAGCTAAGAAAAATGCAAATGGCCACAAAAATATGCATGCTCTTGAGTTTTAGTTTGTATTTTAAAGTTAGAAGCATTTGTGTTTTTCTTTTAGATTATACATGTAAATATTTATATTTTTTCAATTCTTCTGCTGTCTAATTTATAATAATTGAAAAGTATTGATTGAACAATTGGGTGCTTCAGCTTCAACAAAAATTAAGATAAATAGTATTCTCACAAGTACTAGATTTACCCCTACTTCCGAATACATAATAATTTTTCTATCTTCTCTAATTGGGTACTGATATATAAACCCCAAGTCTAAACAGAAACGAAATTGTTGTACAAGGTCTTATAGAGAAATGTTGTACCTAAAGTTGAGGCTTAAAAGCATCTTAGCTGCACTAGATCCTTCCAATCACCAGATATAATATCCATGTTCGTTTCCACGACAGTCGGGTCTACGTATCCGGAACGTCTTTGATTTATATCTTCCCGAGGACTAACACTACAGCATCATTCGTCAAAAACTCTTTGGGAAGATTTCATTACTAAGATTGACACACAATAATACCGACAATATACCGTCGACGATATCAGTAATGATTACGATAAATATGGCGATTACGTTAATGATGAGTACTAAGATAAAGCCGAATCGAATCGATATCGAATTATCGATAACAATAAAAAATATCAAAAATGGTTTCAATGTTATCGATAAGGATAACCGCAGAAATACCTACAAATAAATTAGTAAAACCAGACTTATTTTTTTTTAAATACCACTGTCACTTTATTTTACGTTTAAATGAGTGGAAACGGGGTGGGGAAGTCGTAGTGTGGGGTTTTTGGGAATTTTATTTTAGTTACCAATTAAAATTTGCCAATTGATATTAGATACAATTTCATTTAATATATACATACATTTTTAAACACTTTTCTTCTGGTTACAAATAAAGTTTGTATTAAATGTTTTTTTATTTTAATTTTTTGAAAATTTTTCGTTCCTTTTTTTTGTAATTTAAATTTTTTAAACAGCTTTTTATTGATATTCTCATTTCTTTTATTTCACACATTGCTTTAAAAATTTTTTATTTCACTTCTGCTTGTTTTCATTTTTAAAATTCTTGTTGCCTTCACGTGTTTCTTATTGCAATGACTTGTAAAATTTTAATTTTGTTCTGTTTTTGTTTCCATCATTCATACATTAAATTTTAGTAAATTCTTTCAGTTTTGCATGATTCAATTTAGTTTAGATTTTATTTGTTATCTTTTTATTTCTTTTGTATGTTTTTTGTTTTTGCTATATTTTCTTTTAACTCTTAAACTTGCCTGATCTTTAAAATTAAGTACATACATATTTAGTTGTTTTGCGAACTAAGTATTGAGTAGATTTTTAGTGATATTTTTTTAGTTTCTTTCAGCTAATTTTAGATTTCGATAAAAATTTTTTATATCAGATTCATAAATAATTGCTACAAATTTTTTTATTTAAACTTTGGTTTTAAGCCTAATTTCCAGCTCTGTTGCTTGAAACAGAACTTTGCCGCTGCTGTAAATTTTCTTGAAGAAGGAAATATACGAGCATTTCTTTCTTGAGAGCTGCGAACTGATTTAAAAAATTTGATTAAAAAAAATTAATTTTTAATTTCTTGAGCGTTTTTTATATGAATTTTCCATATCTTCTTAAGAGCTGAACACTATGCTTTAAAAATAAAATTGCATATGCTTTCTTTATCCGTCTTTAGTTTTCATGTTACAAAACATATTTTTTTATAAAACTTTTTTTTATTCATTGCAACGTTTTTTCTTCTTTCCTAAGTAATTTTGAGTGCTTCCATTGTTTAATTTTATTATTTTATCTCTTTGCTTAAATGTTTTTCTTTTTGTTTTTTTCAAAAACATTTTTTACTTTTGTAAATCTTGAGTTGCTGAGGTACTTTGTTTCCATATTTATTCAAAATGTTGGCCCTATTTTGTTTTCAAGTATTTGAAGCTATTTAAAGGAAGGGCTTGGAGGGATTGAGGCAGCCGAAGGGTGGAACTGATGCAATATTGATTTTCAAACTACAAAAATTTCACGACTTTAGAGCCTCTACTTTCTATTTTTAAGCAAGAAATGTGCCTACTTCAATCGAGGTGTCTTATAACCCATCTAGTAGATCTGGTGGTTCGGCGTTACGTCAACATAAAGTAGGAGCCGTTGCTCAGGTGGTTTCATTAGCACCTACGGGTACCTGATTATTATTGTGTGATATATTTGTTCCTATGTTGAATGGATAGTGAATCTGTTTATGTATTGTTCATTGTTTTGGTAGTTTTTTTAGGGGCTTTCACAAGCGTCGAGCAGAGTTATTTGCCTTCAGTAGGCAGTGGTTGATCTTTGCTAGCATTACAGCTTGATTTTGAAGTTAATTTATCCAATTCTGGGATATTTCAAGGCATTTTGAAGCCTCTTCAGTGAGTTGGATAATCTCTGACATTGTGAGGACCTCAACAAATTATTTTCGTTCTTGGCATCAGCTGAAGTAAAATTTCATGTGCGCTCTTCGCTGTATCCCTAATTAAATGTTTAACTCTACCTTTACTCCTTCAGTCCCTCCAAGTTCCCGCTTTCATTTATTGTAGTTTTTTGATATTTTTAATTATTCTCTGTTCTCATTGCCTTAACACGTTTCTTAAGCAAATTTTTAATCGTTTCAATTTCACACAAAATTTTTCACAACAATGTTTGTTTTATCATCTCCCAAGCGCGCGCATTGTGTTTCTGCGAGCAATGCGGTTGCATGTTTTCTATTTCGTGCGTTTTACATTTGCATTATTTTTAATGTTAATTTTTTTTTAAATTTTCAAATCAACTTATCCATTTATTGCTTCTTTAATTTGCTACGATATTTTTTTTTTTTAGGATTTCGTATATTGCTAAACTTTTAACAGTTGAAATAAATTAGTTTTATTTAACTGCGTGATTTCAACGACTTATAACAAAAACATACTTAGATCACAAGCCATTTCAAAAAAAGGGGAAAAAGGATTACAACTTTTTGATACAGGAGTCTCGCGGAGCTCAAAAATTTAAGAGAACGCCGCTATTGAACACCAAAAAAGCTTCTAAAGCCACGAAACTGTAATTAAAATACCAAAAATACTGTAAAAAATATTTTTGTGCGACAATTTTCTTGTTGATTTTATTTGTCTTTGAGGTTTAAGGAGTCCTTTAGTTATGCTTAGTAACTAAAAAAACTGATTTCATTTTAAATACTCATATTAAAACAAATTTAAAAAAAGTTGAAAGAACATTATTTCAACGCTGTTAATTTTTCCACTTAGATCACTTCGTTGATATTTTTTCTTTTGCTTATGAATCTAACAAAAATATTCAACAAATTAGTTACAACTACTAAGTAAAAATAAAACTATTATTCATACAACAAAAACATTTTGGAGGACGTTATTTGAGCGGTGGATTTGGTTGAGAGGACTTAAATCGAGTTTATTCCCTATAAAAACAGAAACTATAAACAGAAATAAAATCTGGTACTTAATAGTTTTTTGGGATTCTTTGAGTATTTCGTGTATTCAGGATTGCATTGATAACTCTGGAAACTGCTATGCTCTCAGATCACCTTTTAATCTCAGTACTGATTCTATGTCTTAGAAAACTAGAGAAATATTGTGGTTTCAGAATCAAAGATTACTTGGTCCAGAAAAACTGTTACACTGTATACACTAAAATCTCGGGAATATTTGGAAATATGGAGCAGAGATAACCTCAGGAAGAAGTATGCAAAAATTAGTAATATTAGATAACTTAGAATAATATGAGAATCTCCATAATATCCCAACAGGTGTATATATTTGGAGCCCCCAAATTATATTTGGATCACAGCATCCTTTGGTTGCTTTAAAATCATGGTCCAATATCGGTGGTTGGTTGTGATCTCGAGATCGAGCTGATAACAGATTGAGACACTTTTTCGTTGAACTTCTCGGAAGTAAATATAAAAACATAATTCTGCTTAATGTTGAAAGTAAACATATAACAGATGGAGAATTTTATAGTTTTCTTTTATATTTTCTGTTTAAAATTGTACTCAAGCAAAAGTTTTTTTTATTTTTAGAGTTTTGAGAAATTTTAAATTTTCTTTTTTATTTTCATGAAAATTAATTTTTTTTAATTCTATAATTTTTTATTGTATTTTATATGTATTGTAACTGTTTGTGGTCTCTGGCTTGCTTTTGAGGTATTTCGTCGCAAATTTTACTCATATTTTTCTATAGTTACTAATGGATTATTTTTGAATTTTTTTTTAATTTCACTAACCAAATTAAAATCCTTACCAAATGAACTAAATAATTTCAATATTGCACATTATTCGTTGGTAAATATTGAACTAAACAACTTGCAAAAAAAAACAAATACATTTGTATATCGTGCGACGGGGACATACCGAATTTCTAGTAAAATAAAGTTTTTTTAATTATTGTTTTTTCACTGATATGCACATTTATCGATATTTGCCAATTGTATTGCATGCTTTTTTAAAAAATTTTCAAAAAACTAAACAAAAATTCCACATTATGAAAAAAATTTTAGTACATAGAAAGATAAAATATATTTTTATTTTTTTCCATTTTTCACCAAAACAAATTTTTCACAAAAAGAATTTTTCATAAAATATTTGAAAAAATCAAATATTATTTCCTTTTTAACTAAAAAAAACTTGGAAACTTGTTTTCCAAATTTTTCGTAACATCTTTAAAAACAAAATAAATTTTTTAATTTGAATCTATTTTTTCAAACCCATTTTTCTGCTTCGCTTCTCTTCTACTTTTTATTCTTTTTTTTGTTGCTTATTTCTGATTTTACATTAAAATTTTGCTTAAACTTGCCGAAAAATACACTTATTTATGTTTACAGTACAATGAAATAGTTTTCGTTCTATGCTGCTTAGTGTGCTAAAATTTCTTTTAATATAATTTTAATGATATTTCTTATGCCAAAATTTTTTGTTCTTTGTGTTCCAACTTCAATACTTTCTTCAAATCTTTTACTTAAATTTTTTATTACTAATTTTCTTATATTTAAAAATTGATTTTTATTTTAAATTTCGTGCTTTCGCCATTTACCTGTTTGCTTTTACTTTTATTTTTGTATCAGATATGAAGATCCCTGACAAGAGGTCTTTTGATAATTTCACAATTTTTTATTTCAATGTATTTACGGTGTGTTTCATATTTATAGAACATATCTGACTATTTCTGCTAATTCTTGCAAATATAGTCTTCGATTTTTGTTGTTTGCAGATAAGTTTCTTGTTCTCAAGCAACAATGTTGCATAAATGCTGTATAAGGGTCGTATAAGAGCATGTATAATATTTTTTTCGTCGTCTTCTTTTGTCAATTACTTTGTCCATGTGTTGCATAAGAGTCGTTTGAGAGTATAAGAGTAAATTAGCCAGCTCTATTTTTTAATTCTTTCTTTATTTATGAGTAAGCTATTGAGCCTGCACCGATTGTATAAGAGTCGTCTGAGAATATATGAGTCGTATAAAATTATTAACCAGTTCAATTTCTTATCTTTTTTTCGAGGAAGCTACTGAGCCTGAAACGATTTTTGTGTTCATATTTTTATTTTTATGCTCCACATTTTAGTCAGATTTTGCTTTGATTCTATTAAAATTCATTTGCATGAGAGTGGTATAAGGGTCATATAAGAGTCGTAGAAGAGTGTTTTGTAGAGTTTCAACTGTTCTGTTATATTTGAATGTCTATTTGTGTTGCGTTAGTATTCGTATAAGAGTTCAGTATTGCCAGCTATGCGTATTTTTTCTCAATTGAAAGTCCACATATTTTTGTAAATTTCATCTCTCGTTAGTCGTACAAGATCCATATAAGAGTACTGCTGTAATGAATGATCGGTATTTTCATTACTATTTTCCTCGATGGTTCAATATTTATGCCTGTCTTTAGTCACTGAGTAAACAAATGTATGGTAAAAAAGAGTGGCCGCGAGCTTTAAAGAGTATAAGAAATCTGTTCGTTAAAAGTGTAAATGGTTCTTAATTTTTTCGTTTGACTTAGAATATTTTACGAGCCAATTCTTTTAGGTTTTACATAGTGTTTTCTTTATGCTCACATGTAGGGTATATAATTCGTTTTAATCAGAAAATGCTTTTCCAGCCCAATGGCTTCAATTCTCATTTCGTTGCTTAAATTATGTAGTATTTAAACTTCTGCATCGTAAGTTCGTTTAGTCTGATTTTTTTTATAAAGATTTTTTTTTCTTTTGGAACAAATATACATACATAAAATGTCCTGTGCAAGGTAGTCCATATTGTTCGTTATACCTCTCGTTAGCCACGAACGCGTTCAGCTGTAAATAGTAAGAGATTAATGAGATTAGTGGTTTTGTAAAACACCGATTAATATGAAGATAAAGATAAAAATATGGCAACTCGAATAAAAATAATTTATTTTCATATGGAAGAAACCCGCAACACCTTCGGCGAGAAAAATTCTAAAAAATCAACAGTAATTTTTAGTCATTTGAAACTTGTACATTATTGGACTAAAATTGAATGGGCTATAAAACTGTGTACTCAAGAAAATCCAACAGTTCTGAGAAAAAAGTTTGAAATTTGAGTGAAACTTTGTTGATTTTTTTGTAGTTTTCTACAACGCTGAACTGAACTTTAATTGAAAATTCCTAAAAATAAATAAATAAACATGAGGGGCAAACCATATCATAACTTTGAAATGGGGGTGCTGTTGATATGTCCGATACTGTATTTGTGTAAATATTTTATGGTGTTTCTTTTGTAATCAGAGCCTATAAAAATATCTTGGTGGAAGGGGAAATATTTTGAAATTTTTATGCCTTGGAAATAAAGGTAGCAACTTACTAAGTATTTTTTTTATTCAATAAAATAAATATTGGCGTTATGCTAATCATTTTCTTTGTTTGGAGTAAGATTTGCAATAAAAAATTTCGAAATTTAAAAGAAAGTTAATAATTTTTTGTAATGAAAAAATTTTTATTTTGGCAAAAAAAATAAATCTTGGTAAAAAGAGTTTTTTCCTCCGCCACTATTTTTCGTACAATTTTATTTAAAAAAATATATATTTTAATAAGTTAAAAAAAAAGTACAAAATTATCCAAAACTTTTGAAAACACGAAATGTATGGAAAACAAAATTTTGTTAATTTCGTTAAAGAAGAATTCATGCAAAAAATATTTTAACCAAAGAATTAAAAAAAAATACAAAAATGTTGGAAAATAAAAAATTCGAAAAGTTTTAGATATATAATAAACAGTAACAAAATATTTACAAATACCATACAATAAATATTATACCAATAAAATTTTTACATTTCCTGCCACCTGACCCAAAACTTGTATTAGAAAAAAATGATGAAAGAAATGATTTCAAAAATTCGAACCATACTTTTTTATTTCATATTTTTTTTTAAATTATCGAAATTTTCTTAGTAGTAAAATTTTGATCGGAATCTGTTATACATGGTATACAAGTTCTTCAACTTAAATTGCAGCACAATATTTCTTAATGTTTTTTTTAATAAAATTTTTTTATATGGTTGCAAAGTTGTAGCATTTCTTTTATGTTAATAAGAAATTAATGTTGGTTTTTGAGATTTTCATTTGCTTTAATTCCCATTTTTTGTTTGCCAATCTTGATTCCAAACCAGTTTAAATTTGGAACTAAATTTTTAAAGGTGAACTTGTTTTCATAACCAATTCTTTTCGTAACATCTAAAATGCAAACTTTATAAAAAAAATTTAAAAAATGTTTTGTTAATATATAATTGTCTAAAAAAAAATATAATTATAAATTTCCTGGGCTCGTGCAGTAATTTCCACCTTCTTTTTTCCCTCCAGTTATACTAGTTTCACGGTATTTCAGAATAGGTTAGGCAATGGTTTTAGACATACAGATTTTCAGACTGAGTTTCTGCACATGAGCTTTTGGTAAATCCATATCGAGATCCAGGACGTTGGATTGTGCTGTGACAAGAAGGTATAAAATAGCGTCGGTCACTCTGCCTCAGCTAAACGGGTACCAAGTAATTTTAATGAACAAATCGACATTTTCAGGCCTTACTCTGGAGAAGAAGTTGGGCTGAAAGGAGAACATGGCCTTACGTTATGAGAAGGCTTCTAAGTATATTAGGACAAGAGAGCCATAGGTATGAAATGAGGTTTGTGCGTTGTTAGACCAGTTAACCTATATGGAGTTATCATATGGTTGCTTTTCCAAATTAGGGTGGCCAATCTTAAATAACTGAGCAACGAACAATGGCTTAGTATCATCTGTTTGACCGGATCAATCTAAATATCACAAAATGACGCTTTAGATGTCGTTTTAGATCTCTTACCTTTGGGTCTAGTGGGACAGTAATTAGCAACTTTGTTGCTTTTCGCTTAAGAGAAACATTACAGTGGGAAGCAAGACCAAAATTGAATATTGAGTAATTATTATGTTTTTTCAACGATCCCAAGGGGCTACTTGTTATTAAAGTGTTCTGCTTCAAGGAAAAATCAGTTCACTCTTAAGTTTGTCGGGTAGTCATTGATGGGCGGTTAAATGAAGAGCTCAGGTAGATAGCCGTCTATCAAGTTGAGCTGGACTAGGAGTTGGTTCTATCTACGTGCCTTAAACCTAAGAACGTAAAATTTTAAAAAATTATTCTTGTTGAAAGCACAGCACCGATATGTATTTCTGAGACTTTTTCAAATGAGTTGAATACAAGAGAACATTTGAGCACAAGTTCCCATTTGAGCACAAGTTCCCGTGGCTCGTAATTTTGGGCCGAATCTCCTTTTTTCCTTAGTAATGAGCTCGTGTAAAGTATTGTGGGAAACTGCAAAAAGCGGAGAAATCGTCTAAATTTCCTTATGGCTACGAGATCATTGAAAAAATTATATACCTAATCAGATTTTGCCAAGTGGTAAAACAACAATAAACACTTGGAAAGAAGAGCTCAAAAACCTGCCAAATAAGCAGGAAAAAATAGGACAAAAAATTATAAAAAAGGAAACATGACATTTCGTTGTGAAAAAGGTCAAAATACAACAAAATAAAGTGCCGAATTGTGTAGATAAGTCTAATTTGAAATGCATTAAAATTCGGGTAGGTAAAAGCAAATCAGAGAGCAGCGCAGCTAGCCAATAAACAAATGTGTCCTGCCATACCCGCGTCGCGCTTGCCAGCATGACCTCAGCGATCTATGTCAAACTGGTTGATGGTTCATTAAAAATTTCACGAGAGGTTCATAGAGGAGGTATGCAGAGCAGATACATAAAAGGAGGGAAAGGGAAAGTTCAAACTGGTTTAATTAACCCTCTTGGCTTTAATGTGTCAAATAAACCACACGCACGCAGACAAACAAAGCAGAGACGCATAACACACTCAAGATAAACAAAAGATGCAACACAAGAGAGAAGGACGTGTGAAAAAGGGCAAACAGCGCAAGGAGGCTGAATAAAGGAATACATTTGACGTACCTATGAATTTTGATAATTATAGGCAGCGTTTTTTCCCCCCACTTTGTTGGTATCTGTGTCAAGTGTGTTGACATTTAACATACAATTTCAATCAATTGTGACAGCAGGCATATTTTTTAATTAATCAAAAGTCAGAGCTGGAGTAAACTTGTTTCAGTGAAAACTTCTAGTCAACCAGCCAAAAGCTACCACGAGTCGATGCGCAACTGATATGCTGATGAGCAGCGCCAGCAAAAAAAAAAAAAACAAAAAAAAATACGGCTAAAAGGACTTAATTGGATATCAATGCTTAGAGCTGTCAGCAGAATAGAAATTGATATCAGAAAAAAGTAGCAAAAAAGGGCATATATAACTGATGGAAAAATGCCTGCTAAGCAACTCAATAGGCAAGAAGCAAAATCTTGTCGTTTAGGAAAACAATTCGAAAAAGAATCGAAAGTTTAATCGAGGAAATGTCATGCATGAGCCAGCCTAATTTACATCAATCTTAATTTTTATTACCAAAGAAAATACTAAGTACATATACATACATATGTATGTATATTAAAATATGCATAGAGGAGTAAAATGATATGCGCACAGCGGGGCGTGTGACAATTTCGGCTTATTGAGTTGGAAAGTAGGGTTTCGAAAAACGTCACCGTCAGCGGCGGTAGCTCAATCTATGTAAATACTAGGGCGATTGAATCGATTTTTCCAAACCGGTTCTCACCGTTTTTTTTTTTCTTAAAAATCTATAGGTGGTTTTTTTAATCTTGATTTTTTGGAATATCGAATAAACCGGTTTTTTTTATCGAACAAAATGATATTTTTCTATTCATACATATCTTGACTTCTCAATAAAAGTTTTGAATTTTTCGAAGATTTCAAGCTTTTCCACTTTAAAAGTATCCCAATAATTCTCACTGTGTAAAAAGAAGTTTTGGTAAAAGCTTGAACCTTTGTTTGTTTTCAAGAAAAAAATATTTTAAGATTAAAATCTATATTTTAGAAGATACATTCGATTAAATATACATATGTATGTATGTGTGTACTTCCTAAAAATACTTTTAAAATTATATCCTTGGTTATTTGAGGATGAACAGGATCATAACCGGATTCCAATAAATGAATTTATTTATGTGTTTGGCCGAGCTTCTCCTCCAATTCGTGTTCTTATTCTGGATGTTGTGACACAAATGGAGAGTAATGCACTTTTGCTCCACCTCCTAAGGAGCTGTTTTATAGCAGAAGTACATTCAGAGGTTTGCCATTGGCTGCCGAGGGGCGACCGTTATTTGAAAATACTTTTTTGATATTGCATCGACCAGAAATTTAATCATGGACTTCTTGAGGGGCAGTGGCGCCTCTTAGCACTCGGCTACGGTGGAAAGGGCACTACTAAAAACCGAAAATAGTAAGAATCAAATGAAATAAAGTATACAAAAAAATAAGACCAAACGTAAAGCACTTTCACTGTAAGAAAACTATGCAAAATTAAACCGGTTTATGCGGTTTTTTTATTCCAAAATTCGGAACCGGTTTTTTTTCAAATTGTAATTTTTCGAATAACTCGAAACAGGTTTTGAAAAAAAAGGCGAATAATCATACACCCTAGTACGTACATAGCAGCTTGGCAGCTGCAGAAGGGTTCGCTAACCGCAATGCAAACTAGCTAAGTGAATGAAGGAATGACTGAATGAGTGGTTGCTGGACTGAATGACAGTTCGTTGAATATGCGGCAAGAGTACGAGGAAGCTGCTGAGTAAATTACGTGAAGGCATACCCATATGTATGTACTCGAATTTGAATGTTTTCAGAAAGCGCGTTAGAAAGCGCCAATAAATAGCGATTGAAGCAGGACAGCATAA